ATTCTGATCCCCAAGCTACCACAAGAGATAGCACAATTCGCCCTGGAAGCAAGGCTGGGCCTAAATGCACGCAAATCCCAGGGTTTAAAGACTTATGGCAGACAACAGAGTAAGATAAATTAGAAATCTCTGCACTGGATCCTTTCTTCACCAGCATGTGAATGTCTCATGAATCAAGCAGTATTATAACTGATTAATATGATGAATAAGTGTTCTGATATACTTCTGTGTGTAATTCTGTGACATCCTGTGATATACTTTCTGCAGTATTTGGGGAAATGTACATACAATTTATAAGCTTTGGTTCATGTTATGGAACGATACAATTGCTATAGGTTTGTATACCACTGTAAGTACGTACATACTTCTGTTGGCCAGGACTGTATGACATTTTTCCCTGGAAAGATATTAAGGGAAACCAGCAAATTTAATGACTGGGCTCTAGCTATACAACTGGAATACTAAAAAAGCAAAGTAAAAGTATAACCTTGCCTTGTTTGTAGGAAGAGAGGACAAAAGGTAAAAATATACAAATTTCAGGTTAAAGAGAGAAAGACGCTGGTAGGACTTTTAATGGACTCCAAGAAACATACTGAAGCATTTAGCCAGGAGAAAATAAAAGATAAGCATGCTTAGCCAAAGGTTTGCCCTTGAGCTACAGATACAGGACCATGTTCCAGACACAACCCAGAGGGACTGAAACGCCTGAAGCGGGTAAAACTTTCAGGGTGTGTGACTTTAACATGGCTAATAGATGTATTATGTCATACTGTTACAGTAAAGGATAACAGTGGCTTCAGAATACCTACGAGTGTTTTTGGGTATGCTCTCTTATCTGTCACCGTCTGTCTCATGAAAAATCTCAAGAGAAATGCCCAGGATTCTGGGAAGTTGTTTTTAACCTGAAGTGAGTTCTTGAGAAAGCTGCTCAGTTGCGTTAGTTGAACAGTGGATTCATGCACAAGGGTGAGAGTGCTAAAATATGAAACCTTTCAAGTGTGTTCCTGAGACCCCAGCCTTGGGGCAGCAACCAGATTCTGTTTAGTTTCCAAAGACATAAAGCACTGGATCCAAGGAGTACAGCCCAAAATTTCAGTATGGTAAATAATCAGCTGGGGATCTCTAACAAATACTATGCAGATTCTGATTTTAAATTGTTCATGTTTCTGGCTCAAATCGTATCAGGGCAAGAGATTCTTTTGAAAAATGGTGACCTCAAATTCCTTTTGATGAAATACAACAACAGTATAGTGGTAAGCCACAGGGCGGATTTTTCAGTGATAGCAAAGGCGCTCTCGTCACCTGAATCTATTATTTTCTATTTATGAGAACATTCTGATGTTACAGCTAAACTCCAAACCTTCATTAAAAGTACATATAGGAAGCACTACTAAGCAGTCAAGGATTAAGAAACAGTTAACTTAAGGATGCCCACACATCTCTGTGAATGCACGTCTACCAGTTTACATACCAATCTCACTGGCACGTGCTGCATTCAAATAACAGTAAACCTGCTATTTCTTCTACACCAGAGGTACTCAGTTTACTAAAACTGGACTCATTGTAATCTGAGGAGTCTTGTTTAACTTTGTATGCAAGTTTTCTGCTCCCTAAAAAATTTATTTTAATCATTTTGACAACTAATTCAGATTTTTTTTTTTTTTTTTAACCTGTCACACAGAGTTTTTATTATCTGGGGGCAGAGTCTTACAAACGAGTACATGCTGACCTGGACAGGGGCACAGACCCACAACCTCTGGTCTCAGTTAGCTGGGTGAGAAGATACTCCAGGCCAGAAGCTCTGCAAGTTGTGCTAATGCAGCCCTGTGTCTCAGCTGCTATGTGCTGGCTCTCAGATGAACCTCGTTGAATCTAGCTTTGTAGACATGACAAAAAAAAACCCCAAACAACTCTCTCAAAGCTACAAATGTAGATGCAGTTGGGATTTTTCTTGTGTCAATTTGTGACCATTGTGACCAATGTAAAACTTAAGACAATCTTAAAAAAATCTGCACTAAAGACTTTTGCAGTCTTGGGTACTAACGGTTTATTTACCCTCCTCCTAGGGCAATCAATTATAACAATAAAAAGACTATTAATAATTTACATTATTTTAAAATGTTGCTTGCCCTAGGTAAGTGGAATTTTGCAGAACAAATATTAACCTGGATTTAAACTGAAGTTGAAAGAATGAGATTTTCAAATATCTGCACTCAAACAACCTGTGAATACAGACAAGTGATTAAAGAAAATCTTATTAACTTCAGCCAGACCAAAGACTTATGTCAATATTGAGATCTTTTAACCATCTCCTAAGTCTCTTGCAGATAGATTTGCATTATCAGTCCCACAACAGAAAATGATTTTTTCCCCCATGGAGAACAGTGTTTGTCACCGCACTTTCAGACTCTTCGGTGTGGACACAGGTAGTTGCTAAGCCCACTGGCAAGCTGAACAATGTCAATATTTCCTTTCTGAACTGACTGCAGAAGCACATTATTTGTTTAAATGGTCAATCCTTAAATGTGAAGCTTTTAGTTTCTATTAATGTTTTTTTCCAGAATAAGCATTTCCTAAAAAAAAACCCAAAAAACCAGTAATGGGATTGCAAACAGGAACCAATGACTACCTGAACCAATGCCAGGTTCAGAGAAGACAAAGAACTCAGCTGTTTAGTACAGAACTCACGACTTTCCCCCAATAAATGAAGATTATTTTTTTTTCCTCAAGTAAGGATTTTGACCAAATCCTTTATTCAATTCATACCAAGGCTGACATGTTGCTCACATACCACATAGCAAGTCACATAAAGATATGCAGCAAGTGTTTAATCTTCAGTGGAAAGTCTAGTGGTTAACCATGCAAACAAATTATTTAACATTTTCCTCAGGAAAATGCATTTCCATCTCCAGAGCGGTTAACATTTGTGTATCATTTCAGTAACACATGGTTGTGGTCAGGACATCCAGAGTCTGTATCTCTTAGAGCAAAAATGTGGAGGTTAATGTTCTAAGGCACTTGATTCAACCAGACTAATAAATTTTCCTTCCCCTGTAGATGATCTAACTGACGTAATTTAGACAACCGGAGCTGGAAAACTTATGCTCAGCTAAATGAATCATGAGTCTACCAAATGCTTAAATTCAGAAAGAGACCGAGGGTAACAACATGCAAATTGACAAAACTGTTGAAGAATTGCAATTGCAAGAAAAATAAATATAACACAGGAAGTCTGTAAAGAGGTATCACGCATAGGAATAAAAAATAAAAGTAATTTTTCCTCTGCCTATGAGGCCAGCGATGGTATTTCCAGTGTCTTACTGGAAGACCACTAAAGAGCTCACAGTCTTTCCCATTAGGAAGATACAGAGAGAAAGAGAGTTGTGTAAGACAGGAAAGATGACAACACACTTGCAAAACCAGAATAAAACTAATAGGACAGGAATAATAATAGAAGGTGAAAATACAAGCTGTTTGCAGCAAATTAGGATGGCATACCTAGGCACAAATGACATGGGCTAACTTTAATACTCATCCGAAAAAAACTTCTCAATGGAAAGATGAAGCACTTTGTCGAATAACGCATCTTTAGACTTAAAAGTCATTGATGCTTTGAAATATTAGGTTGGTGTAGTGTTTCTTTAAAAGCGGAATGTTGTAATCCCTTACACGGCAGAAAACACTTTTTGCAACTTCCTTTATGCTTAATATAAAAGCAAGAACAAAAGATGCATCGCAGATAATTTACTTCTGCGTTTCCAGAGGCAGACCAAAAGTAACTGAAGGGCTGAAGCGTAAGAGAACAGGTTTACTCACTGCTCTGATAAAACTGGCAGCGGCACACAGCTTGTAGTTGCCATTGTCCAACTCTCCCGCTACAACCACTATTTCAGTAACTTGGGGTTAGTGTCCAACTCTCCCGCTACAACCACTATTTCAGTAACTTGGGGTTAGTGGATAGACTACTTAATCCAAGAAGTCTTCTCCTTGTCTGTGGAACGCCTCTGAAGCTGTAAAAAGGGTGGTCCACATTGCCCAAGAACTTCATGACAGGATCTTCTCTTACAACACAATTTCTAATAAAGCTGCACACTTCAGGAGCAAAATCCTCTTCTTAAATCTACACGATAAATTTTGATGGGGGCAGTCTGCTCTTCCTATTGCTATGAACGTAAACTGAAGTTTGAAGTTTGCACCACCAATTAAATTGACAGTTATATCAGAAGTTGAGAGAGTAGCTGCCTCCTTTGAATTTTTTTTTCCCCAAAAGTCAGTACCAAAGAATCTGCAGTTAATTATTTGTTCCTCATCCAGCCATTTTGTAACGAACTCCATCATTAACCACACGGGCAGAATTTGGTAATGTTTTATTTATACACAACACAAAGCTCTCATTTAACTTACCCAATGCTAATGCTGCAATTTCAAAAGAGATTCACACAACTTGCACACTCAAACCCCACTGAAATAGGAGCATCCAGTTCACATTGAGTACCTGAACAGCTCTCACTACGAATTCCCCAAATCCCCAAACGAACTATAACTCCTTCTGCTGAGACTGGTTTTCATTGTTACATCACCTTTCTCATACAGCTCTTCCATCGCTCTCCAGGTTTCAGCTCGGACCTCGCGATTGCTTTTACCCGGAACATGCGCCTCAGGCCAGTGAATTAAATAAAGATCTAAAAAAGAAACAGAATCAGATTACACATTAAAGTGTCCAAAAAAAAAAAAAAATCAAACCATGTGAAACAGCGTTATTCACCCATAACGGTCCCTAACACATTATCACCAACATAGCACCATTACTACTCCGTGATCATTACTGTGTACTTCCATTTAGTTTTAAACCACAAAATCTACAACATTTCATTAACAAGTAAAGGTAGCAGAGGTTGCACATGTGCCACAGGCTTAGGTCACTGTAATTGGAATTTCATGGTCACACATGCACTTAATAAACTTTCAACACATAACAAGCCCCATTTAAACCAAAGGGATTTTGGTCACTGGAATCAAGACTGGACTACTGCTACAAGTCTTCAAGTTTATGGAAGATAAATATGTTTGGCAGTTCTATGGATATTTTCTACAGCCTCAGCAGTGGGTTGAGTTTTTTCCTTTCTAAAGAATGCTTCCATTTATGAGTTTCTGTTGAAAAATTAAAGCATATTCTTCCATGCAGTGTTTTTGCTCTGATTCTGTGGCAGCACTTGTGATATTTTTTAAAGCATTTTTAAAAATATTATTTTAATGGAACAAAACTATGCTTTACTACATTTTATGAAATGTCAGCACAATTTCAAACACAATTAAGATTTACTGCTGATGAAATGATCCAAGCAGCTACTGAAACTGGCTGTCTCAGGAAAGCGATTTTTTGTGTGTTGTCTCCATGCAAGAAAAGACTATCCTTCCACTGAAAAAGGAAGCATTTCCAACATAAATTAAAAATGAGAAATTTACATCTATGGGACTCATGAGTTCCGAAGCAGATTACCTAAATTTCAAAAATGATAGGATCTGTAATTTCTTTACACGTTTGTAGACACTGCTAGACATTCTGAAGGAGAAACTTAGGAGATACTTTGAAAACAATTAAATTTCTACTTAAATTCTAGCTGCAGATTAAATAGGTAAATGCAGGCATCCCAGTGAAAGAGGTGTTGGTCTTTGCCACAGACATTAGTCTGACACAAAACAGGAAAAGGAAATAAATGCATGACCGAGATGTGCATCATTGACTGTGCTTTATAATATTCCTTTTTTGGTAGTTCAAAGATAGAGTTAAGAAATAAAAAAATAGACTCGTTTACAATGAGCAGAGGTTTTTGTTCTTTGAATGCATCACACCGTTCATTTACAGCATGTCTTTCTGAAAACACAGATCCCCTCTCCATAATTTTTTTGTTCACATTTAAGGATTGCACTAGCAATTACTATACCACTGGGCTGGTTATTAGCTTTCTACCTCTATAAACACAAATTAAATCTCTATTTAAAAGGGAAAAGTAACATGAAATTCACAGTAATACACCAGTTCCCATTTGGGTACATCCCCAACACTGTTAAAGAGTGTATTTTGCTTACACTAAGAATCTAATTAGAACAGTACAGAATTTTGTACAGTAAGATACATTACAGATGTATCAAGGAAAAAAAAAATTTTGGGTGTATCACAAAAATCATGAGCTAAATGTGCACTTTCTGCTATCAGTAACCCATCAGTCTTTTAAACACAATCGCTCAGACGAGCAAATATCACTCATAAATCCAGATGCTGCAAATCATTATGTCCGTCACATTTAAAGAGAAAGTTGCTGATTCTCTGCCCTTATATACCTAAATCTACCCACAATTTAGAAAAGAGTAAAAAACCACATGCAGTCTTGTTCACCACTGATCTGCAAATTACTTCTCTAATTGCTCTGAAGAAAGAAGTGGTATTTATTAAGAACAAATACAAACATATGGTATTGGTATAAATAACAATTTCCATGACATTTAAGTGAAAACTAATATTGGGATATTCATTACAGCATTTGGTAGGGTTATGTTCAAAGCTCAGGACTACTCTAGTTCTGTTGTCAATAAAGTCTCTTAAAATTGCCACTGATTTATATCAGATGCAATCCCAAGGACTAGCATTAGGAATTGCTAATATCAAGCATTCATTTTTGATCCAAAATCATATATGCCACGGCGGTATTTACTGCATAGAGACTGCCATGTTTTAATTTAATCTTTTGTGCTTGGATAAAACAAATGTCATATAGAAGTAGGCATAAATTTACCTCACATAAAAATGGATTAATTATGTATCCTTAATTGCTGCTTATTATGTCCTCCAAATCAGACTAATAAGAACTGCTTAACTACACAGAAACATGTCATATAGCATCAACAAAGAAATAATCATCTCCTTCAGCAGAATTTAATGAAAAGCTACTTTTCCAAAAGCCTGAATATTCAGTTAGACATCACAGCTTGCAAACCTTCACAGAAAGAGCTACATCATGGATTTCCACATACAAAGATGCTTTGTACTCAGCCCAAGAAACTGAAGCACTCTCAGAAGAATGACTTTTAACAGATTTGATAACGGAAAGATCTCTGGCCTTGGGTATTTAAAAAAATGCAATACATCACCCTTCTCTGTATTAGTGCCCAAGGCCTCTTCAGTGCAAACATCATTAGCTGTTGGTCCTTTATTTTAGAAAGGTGTTATCAGGTACATGATATCCATGTATTCCTAGTATGTTTATTTTAATTTAGGCTTTTTGTTGAATTAAAAATTACTTCACAGTTCGAAATATACACATTTAGGGCTAGAAAGCATCTGTTGGATCACACAGTGCAGTCCTCCTGACTGCAAGAACAGTTTGTGAAAGATGTGGGGCACAGGTACCTTATCTCCCAGATAAGGAGCAGAATGGTCTTTCTGGCAGTCATGCACAAACCACCCCAGCACAGCTAGAAGCAGAAGGAATACAGTGTACCCTGCAATGAGCAATGGAGCTGCCACTCAAGTTAGATAAACTAAGCATAGTTCATTTTAAGTTAGGATCTGCTTACTTCTGCTGCATCTGTTAGAAAACATTCCGTAATACCTGTAGGCCAATAAAACCAGTAAGAACCTCATAAACCAAGGTTTACGATTTCATCTTCATTTGTACACACATTCACACCTACATACTTTCCTTTACTTAAAATACTGCCCCTCCTGGGGGATTACAAGAACACAAACACTCTTATTTTCATTTTGGAGGCAAGAAATTAGTTTTACATTATTTATCAAAATAGCTTAAGGTTCTAGTAATCAAAAAACGTGTAACTTTACCACCAGAGGTTTTTAAGAACAGACTACATTTTTACTTGTTGAGAATGATGGGGTTGTACCTTGTAGTGTGGGATAGATTAATCAATACTTTGAGATGCCTCTGACCGTATTTTTTTCAAAAATAATCTTAACTCAAAACAAAACAACCCCAATGACTCACAGTATCAGGATGCACTTGAGAAAGAAGACAAAAGCTTCCAAACATTCACGATCAAATTTTGCATTTACCAACTTTTTAAAGCATCCTTTACAGACATTCAAGCTGTAGTGCTGTAGCGGTAAGCAATGGCCTGAACTTCAAATGTCAAAATACAGCGCTACAGGAAAACTAAAATTAACATGTGAACTGCTTTCACACAGACATTTAGAGTGGCTTATTACTTCTTAGTGGTTGCAGCACCTACAATCAACACAGCTAAGAGTGTTACTTAAGATTAACTCAAAAGCACAGAGACATTTTACACATTTAAAAGCCAACAGCACGTTATCATGGAAATAAAAGTTTGCAATTCTACTCAAATTCCAAATACTGTATTAAAAAAAAAAAAAGGTCAAAATTCACTAAAACAAACCTAGTTTTGAAGAACAAGCCCTGGCTCATATCAAACCTAAAAGCAAAAGTATATTTTTTTAATGTTTTGCACAGTTATCTTAATGCAATGATTGCATTTCCCCTGCTTTTCTCAATCGTCACTGCACTTCGTATGTACATAACGGATTTTTCTCTCTCACCCAATTTTTTTTGGTGGTGTTTTTTATTCTATTGGAACAAGGATCAATGTGAAGCAACCTCCAAAATGTTCTGAATTAAGAGACAATCTGAACTGGGTGTATTATCATAATTCACGTGACTCATGTTACACTGAATATGCAGACAGAACCTTTGTCCGACTCCGGTTGGGGATTTGCGATAGGTTAGATTTGCCTGAACGTGATAGACTCGGAACAGTCAAAAGGAAAATAAAATGGTTTATGAATTCGGTAACCCACAAATCACATTCAAGAAGCAGTTACTTTGGAGGTTTGATCCAAATCCCACGGAATGTATTCTGCTACTGCCAAACCTGTAAGATTTACTGCCATTTCATACTGGTTTACTGTGACTGCTAGTTGAGGACCGCATTTAGAAAATGCAAGGAGCAGAATATCTGTTACAACCACTGGCCACAAATGACAGAAATTTCCAGCTTCTCATGGATATATAATCTACTGATTCAAATAAAAATCCTGGAACACTGCTCTCCTAATACCACTTGCCTGAAAAGCGTTTATCGAAAAGGTTTCATAACAGTATTTTACATGGAACACTTTCTCTTAAAAAGCTGCAACTGCTTTCAACAGTTTCTCTGTTTCAGCAGCTGGCATTCTATATATTGCTAACGCACAGATTTATCAATTCCTGTTAGATTATCTCCCAAGTCTCTAATTCAGTCTGCATGGATGGACTGCATAGCCCACAGGGATCCTCAAGAAAATGAACAGGATCGTCCTCGGAAGAAAGAGCTTAACTGCACATCTAACTGCCAGGGCTGCTACAGCTTTTTCTGTTTGCAGTCTTGTGAATGCCTAACTTTCCCTCCAACATAAAGGTCTAACATAGAATCATAGAATAGAATCACAGAATGGTTTGGGTTGGAAGGGACCTCAAAGATCATCTAGTTTCAATCCCCCTGCCATGACAGGGACACCTTCCACTAGACAAGGTTGCTCAAGGCTCCATCCAACCCGGTCTTGAACAGTTCCGGGGAGGGGGCATCACAGATATATTATTCAGGATCTTTCAGTTTTTCTATATGAACCATGTATCTTTATGGAAATGCAGCAAACCCCCACATATTTGGTTAATATTGTACCATAAAATCAGGAAATTTGGATTTAGGTACATTTCACATACCTTTATTTCACATTCTTATTTCACAGAAAAACTGCTGGCTTTAACACATGCGTGTAACTAAAAGAATTTACTTTCCTAAAAAAAACCTCGGACACAAATTGCTCTGTTAGTACCAGATCTTTTCTTGTCATGGATTTCATGCCCTCTCTATTGTATAGACTGGCCAGCAGAAAAGGGACACAAAATGCAGGCGGGAATGAAGACAGAGCTAGGATATCTAAGCTTGGTTCTACAAGCTTATAACCATATTTTCAAACCAACCTTCTGCATTGCAGTTACTTCTGTCAGACTTGTGGTAAGCCTCCATTTCCAAAAAAAAGCTCTTACTCTAAGCATTCTTTAAACACTTGAAAAGTTCACGTTTCAAGATATTGCCACTTTTTGCTTGAAAATCCTTCCAATAGCACCTTCCT